TTTCCATGCTTTAATATTGTCGGAGGTATTTTTAAACAACACCATCGAAAAGAGCATCGTTAAAAACATAGAAACACTGGTTATCGAATATTTTTTCGTCGCACTCATTACGTGGCAAGGGTTCAAATGGAAATGTGTTCTCTGAGCATTTATGGGTTAATGTGACGTGGTATAAACCATATGAATACCGTTTTCTATTACTTTTAAGACAATTACGACAAATATTAACAATTTAAGAAAAAAACTTTCAAAAAAAAAATTTCGCAGACCTGTGTAATTGGAGGAATACGCAAATAAAAAAATGCTTGTAGGTAGTCTCAAACTTATAGCACGTAATTACAATTTGGATATGCATTAATTAAGATTAAAATACATTAGCAGGTGGTCGAAATTCAACTACTTTCTGAGGCATTTTGTTGTAAAGATAACACTTCCCGATAGTCTGTTCGCTTTTAAAATTGACAACAATTTTATTATAAACATCTGACACATGATGTATATTATTGGATCACTTATTAACAAAAACCAAAGAAAATAATTTCCTGTTTCAAATATGCACAAAAGTACCACATCTCACATCGAAAAAATACTTCTCACACATATAATAAAAATAATTTAATAATAAACTTCATTAGGTACAGTAGAAATATGTACCGATATAAATTTAATGTTATTTACAATAAATTACGTATTTATATTCAATAAATTCTTTCTCTGGATAGTAGTATCAGTTGAGTGTTTGTTGAAGCAATGACGGCCTTCAAGAAGTTTACATCGTTAGGATTGATATCCCATTCAGTAATTTGCCCCAAAACTTTCAATTTCGGACAATGGGTCATTAACAGTTCCACCGACGTTAACGTTAAGCATTTTGCCGAAGCAAACCATACTTCTTCTAATTCTAAGAGCTCACATTCTGAACATAATCGAAACATGTCGTCATCGTTAAATTTTATACCATCACCGATCACAAGTCGCCTTAATTTCGGGCTGTTCATTAAAAGAAATCGCAGTATAAAATTGCTGGTGTTACAATAGGACAGATCCACTGATTCCAAGTGCATGAAATAGTAATCGATTTTTGTGCTGGTTAGGCTCATTTTGAAGCATTCCAGTGTTTGCAGATTTGGCGCATTTTTGCAAATTTCTCCCAAATCGACAACGTTTTCTTTCACGCTAATAAGCTTTAAGACTTGTATTTGATATCCTGATTTTTCTAAGTAACCCATCAGTTCTTCGTAGAGTGGTTTGCTTAATTTTAGTGTATGTAACGATTTTAAAGTTGAAAGAACTTTAAGTGTGTTCTTTAATGGGGTGTCCAAGTAGACGCTTTTCAAATTAGGGCATGTCTTGACAATGGCTTCGCATGTATCTTCCGTAGTAAGTGTGTCGTGGATATATTCCAATTTTGTACGGAAGTTTGAATTTTTTTCGTAAACCCTTGACAGAGCATTTCCCGTGAACGAAAACGTCTGTAAAGCGATCAGATTGGGCAAGTTCTGGACCAGCTTGGAGATTGTTTCAATGGAATCCTGTTCATCTTGACATACATCTTTTTTGCCAAAGTTTCCAATACTTAAAATTTTGAGGCTTTGACTTTTGAACTTGACCAAATTTGATGACGTAAATGAACACTCACCGGACACATCCAAACACGTGAGGTTTCCGTATGTTCCAATGGCATTCAACAGTTGGTCATCAGCAATGTGCGGAACGACGAAAGTTTTCAATTTCTTCAATCCTTTTACTATATCACACAGTAAACTGAGATTCTCCCTTGCCCAAATCCCTTTGAGATTCAAGTAGGTTAGACCGGTTCCCTTCTCCAGGATGGTTTTCAAAATATTTTCGTAATAATTGTGTGGAAATACATCTGTTTCAAGCCGCTTCACGTCCTCCCTCAAAAGAAGCTGAAGACAATTGAATCTTATGGAAGCATCCATGCAGCAAGATGCCAGCACCAGATTGAGAAGATCCTGCAGGACTTCATACGTTGAATCTCGTATGTATGATTGTAACGTTTCGTAATCCAGTTCTTCATCGTCACATACCGCCTGTGTCAATTGAGTGGCCACTGTGTTACAACACAATTTCTGTAAGGGTAGAACTTGACATCGTGGAGACATGTTATACTCATTCACGCACTGACACACACTGGGTGAGTGTGAAATTCAGGGATTGTTCTTCGATTATATCTGTATATAATCCAGGGCAGTCTGCCATCACGGTCAAGTGTACTTTTCTATTAATAATACGCCAGTACATGTACATATATTGCGAAAATGTCGCAGCGTGTTTTACACTGTTAATAAAATTTTTACTTCCGCAATACCCAAAATTATTTTTAACTTGTAGGACCCATTTTTCAAAAATAAAGTATAGTTGTGTTCATCAATATCTGATTGATATTTTTTGTTAGTGTCACACATATTTATTGTGTTTTTCTGTTATTAAAAATTTTACAAAAAATTCAGCTAGTTTCCTTATATAAAAAAGTAAAAATTTATTACAAAAGAATAAAATTTTATCATACCAGTTTAGAAATAATGTACCTATCATAGAAAAAGTTTTGGCACTTATTATTTTATTTCTATTTACGTCACTTTTTACTAAGACGTCATAAGATTTTCGAACAAAGAATTGAAAATTTCTGACGTAGGAATAATTGATATAATGCCTACAACTTCCTAATTTAACGTACGCTACAACCTTTTCAAAATAACTCATTCACATCAGTACATTTTTTTTAAAAGGACCTGAACGAGAAACAATATAAAAATAACTTAAACTTTAAATGGTGCAACTACTGTAAAACTGAATTTTAACTAAATAGAAATAATAAAACATTAGAAAGTTTCACTCGTCAATTTATTTGAGAAACCCTCAACAAATTTGTCTGGACTGATCTTATTTCTCGCGTTATTATTAATAATTTGAATAATTACTGTACTATTATTTATGTGTGAGCAATACGGATGATATATTATTAAATATGAGANCTCAGACTATAGACTGGGAAAGACTTGAAATTTTCCAGGGTAGGCTTAGGCGGTGTATCTAATAATCAAGGAAACTTACCTTCAATAATGTTTCAATAAAAGTGAATCACTATTAAATAATTTAATATTTAAAACTGCTATTTGTAAGAAAAAGTAAGAATGAACTTATTGAAATGTAAATCGTAACTTTTTATCAGTCATATCAGAACAAATATTTACATTTCACCTGTTTCAATGAGGTAACATCATGTTGTATTTTTTGCAGGGAACATTTTTTGGGTTTTTTGAGAATATCGCTTATGTGTACAGCATATACGTATGTATAGTTAATTTACTAATGGAGGTTACCCATTTTTAGATCAAATATTTATGCTTCTGATTATTTGTTCGCATTTGAAAATTTTGATTGAATCATTTCGTCTTGATTTGAATTTTTGTGACATATGTTTGGATTTATTACTCTTTAATTCTATTTTTGACTTTGACATTTACCTAATCGACAATGTAAACGATCATTCTATTTATGAACTTTCGCTAAAATTTTTTGTGTTCATTTCTGCAATCTACAAATAACCTCTATTTTCGGATATCCTTTTTTATTTTCATAACGCGAACGTTGTAGCTTATATTTAACTATTTCATAAAAATAACTGTCGTTTATTGGAGTAAGAAAGTAGGGTGCGCATGGTATGAGAAAATTTTAGGTAATGAACCAATCATTTTCAATTGATTAACTGATCAAAAACGTTATTTTTTGCTTAATTGTAATATTTCAAAATATCTTTTTTGTTTATATATGCAGTTGTCATATTATTTTAGAGCTGACAATTGTCAACGAGTTTTTAGCTTTTTTTACACCGAATATTCTATTCTCTATTTCTAGAAAAATGAATCGTTTTTTTACAACAATGTACAAGGAACGGGGAAAACCATACTACCCTGAAAATGTAGCAAAAGCTGAGCATGAACGTTTGTTGTCGTCGACACTTCTTGTTCATCCTTTGTATAAGAAAACTCTTCCTCAACAAATAAATAAGGATCCTGTAGTTGTTCAAAGAATTAGGGAAGAAAAGAAAAGATTAACAAAGAATTATCAGCTCTTTTTGGATACATATCACGATCATTTTAGTGGAAAGTTAAGAAAATCGAAGAACAAGATAATAAAAAGAAGTTCTTCACCGTCATCTCCAAAACGAGAAAAGAAATTCAACATCACCGTGAATCCTAGAAATCCCGTTCAACGTCAAGGAAAATTTCTAGACAAGTACTCTCGCAAATGCTTACAACTCGATCTGAAATTTGTTGAAAACGAAACTCCTCCGTCAGAAACAATAACTCCTCACGATGAACAGCCTAAAAGCAAAATGCACAATTTCGTTTTGGAGGAACTGGAAAGGACCAACGACGAAATAGACACCTTTAACACCCAGCTCCAGGCGATCCAAGGAATTCTGAACGATCGCAAGGTGGAACTAAAGTTTCCAACGAACGATAACATTGAGCAGGTTGAGACAAAAGAAGAAATCATAAAGAGATCAAAATCAAGAGATTTTCTTGGTAAAACCCTCGATAGAAACTTTAGAAATATTAGAACGAATGAGTTGCCCAAAATGCATTACAAAAGCATGGCAGATGCTTTGCTTAGTAAGAAGAAGACAACAAGTTTAGAATTGTTATATTCCAATAATTCCTATCACAAAAAGGGTCAATCATTTGCAAAGTTGATAGATTCAAATTCAGAAATGAATATAAATAACGATAAGAAAATTACGGCAGATTCTGCACTGCACCTCCGGAAATCCAGCACATCTAACCTGGATGATTTCTACAAAGAAATAAATTCAAGATTTCCGTTTTCAAAATTCCGCTCATTGTACAAACCGGATATGGATAGCGTTAGTACACCTATTCCCAAAAAGAACAACAACATGATGACGAATGTAGTTGAAAAGGCGAAATCATACTCGCACGAAAAATCACCAAGAACCAGTTTAAAGTCATCACCACGACCAGCTGGCCGGTATAACAACAGGATCACCAATACTAATAAGAATAAGCACCTTCCACATAAAAGAAATACGAAGCTGAACACACAAATCACACCTGTTGATTTCAAGGGAGAGTGTGGTGATAAAGCTGAGTTTCAAAAACACAAAAGATCACCTAGAAAAAGTCCAAGGATTGCAAAAGGAAATGTACACTACCCCAATGGCACTGATTGCGTAATGAAATCGTACATTGAGCAAAAATTATTACCTAGAAGTCCTTTGGACGCTTCTGAAGGTAGATATAAATTTTCGAGTCAAAATAATAGTCCGAAATCTAACAACAAGTCAAATTATACCCAATCACGCACAACCGAATTCGAAAAGGTACTTCAAGAGAATGTACCTCATGGAATTTTTGGAAACGAACAACTTCCAAAAGGGATAACAAACTCCCTGTTTCTAAAGAATGAACTCAAACAAAATCCTTCGGGGCCGCCCAATGAGAATCATCTTCACAATGCTCGAGCGGTCTTTTTACGAAAATTACAACAGGCCCAATATGACGCAAAACAACAGGATCTATTTACTCTTTCTAAAAACAATAGTCCTTACGCAAACAAAAAGAATAATTCGGGTCTGTATTCCACTTTTTGCACTGCTCTTAAAGATACCATATTCGAACCTGAAAAGAATGCTGTTTGACTTTTTTTTTATTTAACAAACAGTTTTGTGAATTGATCTAACACGTCTTTGAATAAATAATAAATGTCCATTACTGTATCAACAAGTAATTGTTTCTGTTTAATTGATATGACGAAAAAACGATTTGAAATTAACATTTCGTTACCAGAATAAGGCACGGAACATTTCACATTCTTTTTGCCTTTTTAGGACATTTAAATTTATGTAATTTACAATCTATATTTATTTACATCATTCATACTGATCGGAAAAGAAATTTTCAGTTTTGTGGTTTTTGCGTTGGTGAAAGAGACAATAAATGCCAGAATACGTTTGGACTAAATCCAAATTAATTTTCACCGTTTATTTACAACCAGTTGGACGTAGTGTTGCGTTCTAANTTACTTCCGCAATACCCAAAATTATTTTTAACTTGTAGGACCCATTTTTCAAAAATAAAGTATAGTTGTGTTCATCAATATCTGATTGATATTTTTTGTTAGTGTCACACATATTTATTGTGTTTTTCTGTTATTAAAAATTTTACAAAAAATTCATCTAGTTTCCTTATATAAAAAAGTAAAAATTTATTACAAAAGAATAAAATTTTATCATACCAGTTTAGAAATAATGTACCTATCATAGAAAAAGTTTTGGCACTTATTATTTTATTTCTATTTACGTCACTTTTTACTAAGACGTCATAAGATTTTCGAACAAAGAATTGAAAATTTCTGACGTAGGAATAATTGATATAATGCCTACAACTTCCTAATTTAACGTACGCTACAACCTTTTCAAAATAACTCATTCACATCAGTACATTTTTTTTAAAAGGACCTGAACGAGAAACAATATAAAAATAACTTAAACTTTAAATGGTGCAACTACTGTAAAACTGAATTTTAACTAAATAGAAATAATAAAACATTAGAAAGTTTCACTCGTCAATTTATTTGAGAAACCCTCAACAAATTTGTCTGGACTGATCTTATTTCTCGCGTTATTATTAATAATTTGAATAATTACTGTACTATTATTTATGTGTGAGCAATACGGATGATATATTATTAAATATGAGACGTACTGATTGCGTATAAACGAATTCAGAAGTGACAAAAATACTTCAACTAAAGCCGGGACTACATTGAGAAGCTTTACCATTCGTTCGCATTCGTTTGCGTTGCTAATCGTTCGTAGACATTCGCGGCAAAGTTGATGAAAGTGGCACATATGAACTAACTACTCTCCCCTATTTACATTTGCTAGCGTTTCACCAAGTTTCACCCATTTGTGAGGTTCCATTTGGGGTGTGGGCATCAATAATCACGTTTTTATTTTATTGTTCAAAATGGTGTATTGTAGTAATTGCAAACACAAAGGTAAATAAACGTTCGAAAAATCAGATTTGTAGTTTCAAAATAGTGAACAAATTCTTGTTAAGTGTTATGAGTTTTGAAAAATAGTCAATTCTCTGTTTTCTGTTCTTTTTCGATTTTTGTCACTATATGATTTTATTGATAAAGACTAACCTAAAAATTATTTTCAACATGGCTACCAGTTCGCAAACATTCGCAACTCACGTTTTTTTTAATCATTTTGAGTTTACCGACAGAGGATGAAAAGCGTTTGTTCGCATTGTTGACCATTTGAATCAAAAGTTATTCGTAGCAAATCACCACAAATGATCACTTTACGAACGTATGCAAACCAATACGAACGAATGGCGACGTTTCTCAAATGTATTCCCGGCTTAATATCAGTGGCTGCGAATCTCTTGCATCTTGGACTACCTTTTAAAAAATTATTGCAACCTATCTTATGTTACGTCGTTCGGTGCACTTGGACAAGGCCCAAATTCATTGCCTCCCTTACCTTTCCCATTGCCAACAAGTATTATTTCGTACGACGTAGTACATTCAAGTCATATACATAATCTAATGATAATAGCAAAAATCCAAATCGTAAAAGCACATGCGTCGGTACGTAATAAATGCATATTTATAACAAAATTTATTTGGCGCCTATATAATAAGGAATTGTTGCTTGCAACTTTTATGAGAGACAACGCTCCCACATGCCTCAATAATTTCATTATAGTATTATTTTAGTGCATAAGCACACAATTTGTCGATACACAATCAGTATTGGTATTGAAGTAAAAATCCTATTGCTTTTTGTGACGTTGTTTATTATACGAATATTCCAGACTAGCCTGATGAGTTATAGCCGACGAAACGTCGGAAAAGCAACAGGTTTTTTGCTTCAATGCTAACACCGATTAATTATCAGCTCTGGATTGATCGTGTGTTAAGGGAATGTACCCAAACTATGTGACCCATTTTTTTTTTATAATTTTTACCCCCCCCCTCGATGACCAGATGTAGTATATACTAAAGCTCCCCACTCTCTGGTTTGTAATATTGTTTTTCAAACAGATAGCTCGAAAAAGCGGTAGATTTCGCTGGAGGACATTGACTACTTAACAAAAACCTAAGGCTTCCCCGCCCCTATTACCATGAGTGGTAGTTTTGAAGAACCCCTTTCCCCCCGAATAGGTCACGCAGTATGGGTATGTTCCCTAAAGAAATACCATAAAGAATAAGGAGAGCGGAACTTCTGCTTCAATTACAAATTATACTATACTCAATAATTTCAGTTGTTACCACACTAATTGATAAATGTTTAATGCTTAATGTCTTCAATTATTAACATTTCTTCTAAAAATAACATTCCCTACTTATATAATACTAATCTCTCTGAAAAAAGTATCAACGAGCACAAATTTCTTAAAAACTTAAAAAAAAAAATGAAACTATTTTAGAATAAAAGCTAAATTGCATCTGTGTTCTATTTTTTGCCGCCACTCAGATATCTATACTTAGTTGTTAATATAAATCTCAGTTAGACATTGAAGATAATTAACATAAAAAGGACGAAGATATTCAGGTCGCTAAAATATTTTGTTCAGGATGGGTTTCAGATTTTGTTTGACATAAAATCAAGTTATCTGAAATTGAACTACTGCTCCGTATTTATTCCTAATTTTAGAACGATGAATATTTATTTGGAGGTACCTATATATATCATTAAAGACAGCCTGAAAGTACATATTTGCTGGTCAGTGCACTTATAAATCAAATAAATATTATACAAACATAAAAGTNTTGATGACGTAAATGAACACTCACCGGACACATCCAAACACGTGAGGTTTCCGTATGTTCCAATGGCATTCAACAGTTGGTCATCAGCAATGTGCGGAAGGCACGAAACATTTCACATTCTTTTTGCCTTTTTAGGACATTTAAATTTATGTAATTTACAATCTATATTTATTTACATCATTCATACTGATCGGAAAAGAAATTTTCAGTTTTGTGGTTTTTGCGTTGGTGAAAGAGACAATAAATGCCAGAATACGTTTGGACTAAATCCAAATTAATTTTCACCGTTTATTTACAACCAGTTGGACGTAGTGTTGCGTTCTAATAATTGGTAATGTGTTAAATAGAATGTTCCAATTTCATGCAGTAAAAAGTAAAATGAGAAAGTAGATCAAATGACAAAAAAAACTTTTCGACTTATGTCGTCAGCAGTTGCTAAAATAATAAAGTATTTTAAAATATATTGTAGGCAGCTAGAAATTAAGGATTTCAGGATAAGATTATTAAGTTTTGGGAAACGAAATAACACAGGTCTGCGATAAAAAGATTTTTGTATAAATTTATCTTAAGCATGCAAATGTTGTTCTATAATTTGCCAATATAAACTTTGTTTTAACTAATAATCAAGGAAACTTACCTTCAATAATGTTTCAATAAAAGTGAATCACTATTAAATAATTTAATATTTAAAACTGCTATTTGTAAGAAAAAGTAAGAATGAACTTATTGAAATGTAAATCGTAACTTTTTATCAGTCATATCAGAACAAATATTTACATTTCACCTGTTTCAATGAGGTAACATCATGTTGTATTTTTTGCAGGGAACATTTTTTGGGTTTTTTGAGAATATCGCTTATGTGTACAGCATATACGTATGTATAGTTAATTTACTAATGGAGGTTACCCATTTTTAGATCAAATATTTATGCTTCTGATTATTTGTTCGCATTTGAAAATTTTGATTGAATCATTTCGTCTTGATTTGAATTTTTGTGACATATGTTTGGATTTATTACTCTTTAATTCTATTTTTGACTTTGACATTTACCTAATCGACAATGTAAACGATCATTCTATTTATGAACTTTCGCTAAAATTTTTTGTGTTCATTTCTGCAATCTACAAATAACCTCTATTTTCGGATATCCTTTTTTATTTTCATAACGCGAACGTTGTAGCTTATATTTAACTATTTCATAAAAATAACTGTCGTTTATTGGAGTAAGAAAGTAGGGTGCGCATGGTATGAGAAAATTTTAGGTAATGAACCAATCATTTTCAATTGATTAACTGATCAAAAACGTTATTTTTTGCTTAATTGTAATATTTCAAAATATCTTTTTTGTTTATATATGCAGTTGTCATATTATTTTAGAGCTGACAATTGTCAACGAGTTTTTAGCTTTTTTTACACCGAATATTCTATTCTCTATTTCTAGAAAAATGAATCGTTTTTTTACAACAATGTACAAGGAACGGGGAAAACCATACTACCCTGAAAATGTAGCAAAAGCTGAGCATGAACGTTTGTTGTCGTCGACACTTCTTGTTCATCCTTTGTATAAGAAAACTCTTCCTCAACAAATAAATAAGGATCCTGTAGTTGTTCAAAGAATTAGGGAAGAAAAGAAAAGATTAACAAAGAATTATCAGCTCTTTTTGGACACATATCACGATCATTTTAGTGGAAAGTTAAGAAAATCGAAGAACAAGATAATAAAAAGAAGTTCTTCACCGTCATCTCCAAAACGAGAAAAGAAATTCAACATCACCGTGAATCCTAGAAATCCCGTTCAACGTCAAGGAAAATTTCTAGACAAGTACTCTCGCAAATGCTTACAACTCGATCTGAAATTTGTTGAAAACGAAACTCCTCCGTCAGAAACAATAACTCCTCACGATGTTCAGCCTAAAAGCAAAATGCACAATTTCGTTTTGGAGGAACTGGAAAGGACCAACGATGAAATAGACACCTTTAACACCCAGCTCCAGGCGATCCAAGGAATTCTGAACGATCGCAAGGTGGAACTAAAGTTTCCAACGAACGATAACATTGAGCAGGTTGAGACAAAAGAAGAAATCATAAAGAGATCAAAATCAAGAGATTTTCTTGGTAAAACCCTCGATAGAAACTTTAGAAATATTAGAACGAATGAGTTGCCCAAAATGCATTACAAAAGCATGGCAGATGCTTTGCTTAGTAAGAAGAAGACAACAAGTTTAGAATTGTTATATTCCAATAATTCCTATCACAAAAAGGGTCAATCATTTGCAAAGTTGATAGATTCAAATTCAGAAATGAATATAAATAACGATAAGAAAATTACGGCAGATTCTGCACTGCACCTCCGGAAATCCAGCACATCTAACCTGGATGATTTCTACAAAGAAATAAATTCAAGATTTCCGTTTTCAAAATTCCGCTCATTGTACAAACCGGATATGGATAGCGTTAGTACACCTATTCCCAAAAAGAACAACAACATGATGACGAATGTAGTTGAAAAGGCGAAATCATACTCGCACGAAAAATCACCAAGAACCAGTTTAAAGTCATCACCACGACCAGCTGGCCGGTATAACAACAGGATCACCAATACTAATAAGAATAAGCACCTTCCACATAAAAGAAATACGAAGCTGAACACACAAATCACACCTGTTGATTTCAAGGGAGAGTGTGGTGATAAAGCTGAGTTTCAAAAACACAAAAGATCACCTAGAAAAAGTCCAAGGATTGCAAAAGGAAATGTACACTACCCCAATGGCACTGATTGCGTAATGAAATCGTACATTGAGCAAAAATTATTACCTAGAAGTCCTTTGGACGCTTCTGAAGGTAGATATAAATTTTCGAGTCAAAATAATAGTCCGAAATCTAACAACAAGTCAAATTATACCCAATCACGCACAACCGAATTCGAAAAGGTACTTCAAGAGAATGTACCTCATGGAATTTTTGGAAACGAACAACTTCCAAAAGGGATAACAAACTCCCTGTTTCTAAAAAATGAACTCAAACAANCAATTTCTCGATACACAATCAGTATTGGTATTGAAGTAAAAATCCTATTGCTTTTTGTGACGTTGTTTATTATACGAATATTCCAGACTAGCCTGATGAGTTATAGCCGACGAAACGTCGGAAAAGCAACAGGTTTTTTGCTTCAATGCTAACACCGATTAATTATCAGCTCTGGATTGATCGTGTGTTAAGGGAATGTACCCAAACTATGTGACCCATTTTTTTTTATAATTTTTACCCCCCCCCCTCGATGACCAGATGTAGTATATACTAAAGCTCCCCACTCTCTGGTTTGTAATATTGTTTTTCAAACAGATAGCTCGAAAAAGCGGTAGATTTCGCTGGAGGACATTGACTACTTAACAAAAACCTAAGGCTTCCCCGCCCCTATTACCATGAGTGGTAGTTTTGAAGAACCCCTTTCCCCCCGAATAGGTCACGCAGTATGGGTATGTTCCCTAAAGAAATACCATAAAGAATAAGGAGAGCGGAACTTCTGCTTCAATTACAAATTATACTATACTCAATAATTTCAGTTGTTACCACACTAATTGATAAATGTTTAATGCTTAATGTCTTCAATTATTAACATTTCTTCTAAAAATAACATTCCCTACTTATATAATACTAATCTCTCTGAAAAAAGTATCAACGAGCACAAATTTCTTAAAAACTTAAAAAAAAAAATGAAACTATTTTAGAATAAAAGCTAAATTGCATCTGTGTTCTATTTTTTGCCGCCACTCAGATATCTATACTTAGTTGTTAATATAAATCTCAGTTAGACATTGAAGATAATTAACATAAAAAGGACGAAGATATTCAGGTCGCTAAAATATTTTGTTCAGGATGGGTTTCAGATTTTGGTTGACATAAAATCAAGTTATCTGAAATTGAACTACTGCTCCGTATTTATTCCTAATTTTAGAACGATGAATATTTATTTGGAGGTACCTATATATATCATTAAAGACAGCCTGAAAGTACATATTTGCTGGTCAGTGCACTTATAAATCAAATAAATATTATACAAACATAAAAGTATATAGACGAATATTTAAATTAATTTGCTTTCAGTTATTTTACGTGAGACTAGTGTCATTGAACGAAAGTTTGTAATATATAACACAAGCGACGAGTATGTTTCTATTTCATCCGCAGTCTCCTTTACTATTCCTACAGTCTCGCATTAATAATGCTCACAATAAAAGTGAGCGAAACACGTATCCGTTTTTGATAAAATGTTTGTGGTATATAATATGGGCGAATCTCGCGGGTATTATTTTAGTTTACCTACAGTCTTCTCTACTATTCCTACAATCTCGCTGTGATAATTCTCACAGTAAAAGTGATCAAACCACGTGCCCATTTGAAGGAAAAATTTCTTGAGAAGTTTGTAGTTTGTAGAGGCTAATGTCTTTGGTATTATTCTATTTTACCCGTAGTCTCCTTTACTATTCCTACAATAAATGTGAATGAAACACGTGCTCGTTTAAAAAATGTTTATGGTATATAGAGGCCAGACTTTTTGATATTATTCTATTTTATCCCTTTACTATTTCTATAGCCTCACGAGCGAGACACGTTCCCATTTAAAGAAAAAGTTTGTGGTAGAAAAGGACCAATTTCTTTTGTATTATTCTACTTTGCCCACAGTCTTCTTTACTGTACCTACAGTCCTGCGTTGATAATGTTGACAGTAAAAGTGAACGAAACTCGTGTCCATTATTGAAAACAATGTTTGTGGTATATAGGGGCTAATCCCTTTGGTATTATTCTATTTTACCACAGTCCCCTTTACCATTCCTACAGTCCCGTGTTGATAATACTCACAATAAATGTGAACGAAACACGTGCCAGTTTAAGAAAAAATGTTTGTAGTATATAGAGGCCAACCTTTTTGGTATTATTCTCCTAATATACCCACAGTTTCCTAGAGTACCTACCGCGTATGTGAATCTCCTTTATATTATTCCATTTTACCCACAGACTACTTTACTATTCCTATAGTCCCGCGTTGATAATGCTCACAATAAATGTGAAAGAGAAACATGCCCTTTTAACAAAAAATGTTTGTGGTATATAGAGGCCAGTTTTTTGGGATTATTCTATTTCATCCACAGTCTCCTTTATTATTCCTACAGTCTTGCGTTGATAATTCTCACAGTAAAAGTGAGCGAAACACGTTCCCATTTAAAGAAAAGTTTGTGGTAAAAAAGAGTGAATCTCTTGCGTATTATTCTGCTTTACCCACAATTTCATTTACTATGCCTACAGTTCCGCGTTGATAATGCTCAAAGTAAAAGTCAACGAAACACGTGCCTGTTTAATGAAAAAGTCTGTAGTATAAAAAAACAATGTTTGTGGTATGTAGGGGCTAATCTATTTTGTATGATTCTATTTTACTACAGTCTCCTTTACCAATCCTACAGTTCCGCGTTGATAATACTCACGGTAAAAATATGCGACACATGTGCTCGTTTAAGGAAAAAGTCTGTGGTATAATAGGGTCAGTCACTATTGTGTTACTCTACTACACCCACAGTCTCCTACACTAGTGAGCGCAACACGTGTCCCCATTACTAAGGAAAATTTTGTGGTATAAAATGGTGAATCTCTTTTGTATTATTCCATTTTATCCACAGTTCCTTTATTATTTCTACAGTCCCACATTTAAAATGCTCACAGCGAGACACATGCCAGTTTAAAGAAAAACTTTGTGGTATAAAAGGGTAAATCTCTTTTGTATTACTCTACTTTACCCATAGTATAATTCACTCTTCCTACAGTCTCGCGTTTTTAATGCTCACAGTAAATGTGAGCGAAACTTGCGGGAACATTTAATTTCTAGAGATATTACTAAATATCGCACATTTGTTTTTAAAGTATTTTACTGAAGTTATTNTGAAAGGCAAGGGGATTAAAAAAGAAACTTCTGCGAATTGCATCCTCACTAGTTAAAATATTTATTTTAATAACATACTGGAATAGAAGTTTAACGACTTTTTATACCTTAAAATCGTGCATGCATACTTTTAAATTTAAAACAAATCATTAATCAAAAGGGTTCATATCGAAATTTTGATTCTACAACTTTTTAAGCATATTCTTAAAAACTACGTTATTAAAATAATTGTGTAAGTATATATTTCACAAAAAAAGGTTGTATTTTAGCACACAATATAAAAAAGTCAGTAACAAGATAATAATTTATTAAAACACGTTCATTAAAAAAAAAATAAGAATATAACATGAAACAAGGTAGTCAAATTTTTCAACTAATTGTAAGCCTTAACTTTAGCCCAAGGTACACATCATGAAGTTTGATTTATAATTTTCTTTAGTCTTTTCCCTATCAATTTTGGATAAGTATTGTTCTTAATGCGAAACTCTTTGCTCTGATGAGAAACCGCTCCATTTTCCAATTGATACTGACACAACATATGCAATGGTTTAACAAGTTTATCCCTATATTCATTATTATTCTCTAATAACGCCAATGCTTCTGCTGCCGCCTCCAAAGTACTCAAGCAACCATCTGTTGGCTGTGTTCTTATAGTGTAGTTACTAACATTTGATAAAGTTAACTTTACACTTTTTATTTTATGTAGAATTGAATTGCTTGCATATATTGCTTTAGCTTGGGGCCAGGTTCCATCAATTATTATTAAATTATAGCTTTCATATTGATGTTTATCGATAATTTCTTGCAAGTTCACAGATTCAGAGCTAGGATATAATAATAAGGTGTTAGGTTCAAGCAAAATGTTTTCAAGTTCTTTATATCTAGTTCTAAAATTTTTGCCTTTAAAAATGACGCATCTTTCATTTGCTAGTCCTAATTTAAGCATGGGAGCAGTGCGTAGACATCTTTTTTCCTCTGCAGGGTGTTGGAGTATTATCAATCTCGTTTTGGGGTTTAAGGGCACTTTTGGTAAAGCAGGGCACCAGCAGACACTCTGAGGTCTCCTAAAACACATAAAAACTTAATAAAATCGTTTTTATAGCAGACAAAACTAAATACTGGCACTGAGAACACTTGTCTCTAATATCTGGTGGTTCCACACATATGTTTGCAAAATCGTTAAAGACATTATTTTCTGTTTCCATTAAACGCCAATCTATTTTTATTTATTTAAAGGGACACAATGCAAATCTGTTTGGCGAATATAAGAAATTAGGTTATAAAAAAATAAACAAATATAATTCTACATAACCTAACTTTACTAACCGCTGATAAACTGATGTTTCACAGGTGTGGCTCTAATTTTATTTCAAACAAAATAGGTAAATACATGAATTAAAATAAAATGGAAAAACATAATAAATTATATGTTAATAAACACGAAAGATATTTTTTGAGATTCTTGGATATCCTACCATCAGCATTAGAAAAATTTGATGCTACCAGGTAACATTACCAGTTCCAAAACTTGAGAACAAATAATCTAGGCGTTTTAAAAATCTGTAATTGTTCTTATTGTTTAGGGTATTGCTCACATACTTCTGTGTATCTGGTCTAGATATCCTAAATGCCTTAGATAAAATAGATAATAAGAAAAGAGAAGCTATTATAAATTGGATATATAAACTTCAAGTTGTTAACGAAGAAGGTAGAAATTATTTTACTGATCAGTGATTAATCATTTTATTTAATGTTTATTTTCGTTTATTTTAGAGGAGGTTAGTGGATTTCAAGGTTCATCTACATTGAGCACAATAAAAAATAAGTCAAAAAACTCTCCATTGAAATGGGGCCACATAACTGCCACCTACACAGCATTATGCACCTTGGTGATTCTAGGAGATGATTTGAGTAGAGTGAATCGCAAAGCCATAGCTCATAGTAATTAATAATTGACTAAAATATTATATTCTTATTATTTATTTAATATTTAAGGTTTAAAAAAACTGCAACTGCCAAGTGGCTGTTTTACTGCAGCAAAGGAAGGCACAGAGAGTGATATGAGATTTGTTTTCTCTGTAGCAAGTGTATGTTATCTGATTGATGATTGGTCAGGGATGGATGTCGACAAGACTATCGATTTTATCTTAAAAAGTATAGTGAGTTAGTGCTATGGTATTAAATATTGTTTTATCTTTATTATGCTTTAATAGAAATTAAAGCTTTCCTGTTGTGTTATCAGTAGGGAGTGGACACTGTTCACACGTGTAAGGCCCTCACATAGGCCTACGATCAAAATTTTATGAGGTGAAAACTATGAAGCTAAGTATGCTCCTGCTAATGACGTCATATAAGAACAACTTTCGCTCCTTAGTTATCAGCATAGCTGGTCGTTCGCTATATGAAATAGTCGTAGATGTATAAGAGAATTGAACATGCAAGTTGTACATTCAAATGAGTCGAGGCGAGTCATTGTCTTCATTTAATTGTTATGGTAACCACTTCTGTAATCTGTTACATGCAGTGTGCATGTACTGAAAGGCAAGGGGATTAAAAAAGAAACTTCTGCGAATTGCATCCTCACTAGTTAAAATTACTAGTTGGGAAAGTTCGGGAAATCCCTCCGACCTATAGTCCAGTCTATGAATCTAGTATAAAGCCAGAGAGTAAGGCGAATGGCCCTCTAGTCTCCATACATGTTTTTTTGTCTCGGTTGCGTTCTGTTCTCTTATATTTCTATGAATTTAGTTGTAATCTGATCTGATATAAATTGCGATGTATGTTTTTTGACTAATGAATTTTAATATTTTAGTCATACGATAACGGAATAGGCCAGGAGCCAGGGGCTGAGGCTCACGGTGGGTCTACATATTGCGCCATTGCGACTTTAGCGCTGTGCAAGAGATTAAATAGTTTGTCAAGGAGACAACTTGATGGTATTATTCGATGGTTGGTGTTTCGACAACAGAGCGGTTTCCAAGGACGACCAAACAAACCGGTTGACACTTGTTATTCGTTCTGGGTAGGCGGAGCGCTAAAAATATTGGGTGTTTATGATCTGATTGACTTTCAAGAGAATTACACTTCGGTTATTTTAACCCAAAGTAAAATTATGGGTGGTTTTGCTAAATGGGTTGGACTGAACGGAGATCCACTTCATAGTTACTTGGGTTTAGCCGGACTTACGTTTATGAAATTGGAAAAGTGTCAGCTTAATCAAGTGGTTCCTGAATTAAACATCACCGTCAACGCGTTTCAACAGTTAAAAGTTATCCACGATAAATGGAGATCAAGTTAAACTTAACGCACAAATTGAGTACCTTAAAATTGTTATTATTCATGTACTGATTTTTCGTCAATTTTATTAATAAATGTTAATATTAAAATTCAACATCTTTTATAATTTAACGAAAAGTTACTGTATGAGTTTTAATTAATCGTTAAGATTCTTAACCCGAATTAGTACATATAGTACATTAAATTGCTATAAAATAGTAACGAGTAAGTTACTCACTTTGTTTATTAATTTTTCGTGAATTTAGAATTAAAATTTGTATGGCTCGCTTCACATTCACTTCTTGTTATCGTACTCTATGATTTACAATCTATTTACAGTCTTTGGTTAATAGCTTATCATTATCTATGGTAGTGATGTGATCATGATGTCACGATATCTGTAAAATTAGTAAACATTTCACTTTCGATTATTATTGTTACCTTAAATTTTTGTTAGTATCATGCCAAGTCCATTGTGATATTTAATTAAATTTAAATTAAGTTTGCTAAAATATTAAAGTTTATTGTGAAACTTCAAATTCCTTGATTGTTTCGCTGGTTGACATCTAGAGATCTTATTTCTCGCGTTATTATTAATAATTTGAATAATTACTGTACTATTATTTATGTGTGAGCAATACGGATGATATATTATTAAATATGAGACGTACTGATTGCGTATAAACGAATTCAGAAGTGACAAAAATACTTCAACTAAAGCCGGGACTACATTGAGAAGCTTTACCATTCGTTCGCATTCGTTTGCGTTGCTAATCGTTCGTAGACATTCGCGGCAAAGTTGATGAAAGTGGCACATATGAACTAACTACTCTCCCCTATTTACATTTGCTAGCGTTTCACCAAGTTTCACCCATTTGTGAGGTTCCATTTGGGGTGTGGGCATCAATAATCACGTTTTTATTTTATTGTTCAAAATGGTGTATTGTAGTAATTGCAAACACAAAGGTAAATAAACGTTCGAAAAATCAGATTTGTAGTTTCAAAATAGTGAAGAAATTCTTGTTAAGTGTTATGAGTTTTGAAAAATAGTTAATTCTCTGTTTTCTGTTCTTTTTCGATTTTTGTCACTATATGATTTTATTGATAAAGACTAACCTAAAAATTATTTTCAACATGGCTACCAGTTCGCAAACATTCGCAACTCACGTTTCTTTTTAATCATTTTGAGTTTACCGACAGAGGATGAAAAGCGTTTGTTCGCATTGTTGACCATTTGAATCAAAAGTTATTCGTAGCAAATCACCACAAATGATCACTTTACGACCGTATGCAAACCAATACGAACGAATGGCAACGTTTCTCAAATGTATTCCCGGCTTAATATCAGTGGCTGCGAATCTCTTGCATTTTGGACTACCTTTTAAAAAATTATTGCAACCTATCTTATGTTACGTCGTTCGGTGCACTTGGACAAGGCCCAAATTCATTGCCTCCCTTACCTTTCCCATTGCCAACAAGTATTATTTCGTACGACGTAGTACATTCAAATTATATACATAATCTAATGGTAATAGCAAAAATCCAAATCGTAAAAGCACATGCGTCGGTACGTAATAAATGCATATTTATAACAAAATTTATTTGGCGCCTATATAATAAGGAATTGTTGCTTGCAACTTTTATGAGAGACAACGCTCCCACATGCCTCAATAATTTCATTATAGTATTATTTTAGTGCATAAGCACACAATCTCTCGATACACAATCAGTATTGGTATTGAAGTAAAAATCCTATTGCTTTTTGTGACGTTGTTTATTATACGAATATTTCAGACTAGCCTGATGAGTTNTACAATAATATTTAGCCTCAATTTTAAAATTGTATTTGATTGTGGCTGGTATCGCCGTTATTTGTTGATATTGTGTAGACGTTCCACATATAGGAGGTTTATCGCATGGCGGTTCATTGGGCATCCACTTTCCCAGTCATTACAGCGATTCTTCTGTCAATTCAACGGGCAATAAAAGTCAGAGCGCAAGCGCAGCCGGTTCCGATATATTGGACAAAACGACACACGATCTCAAACTAGAAAAGAGTAACATACTACTGCTTGGGCCAACCGGTTCTGGTGAGTTTTAATTTACTGTTAAGTCGTGCGTTTTTTAAGTAACTGAAAAAACAATAAAATTGGTTTTTGGGTTTACTTTAAAATTGTAAAGTATAATCAATTAGATTTTCAGTGAGCATTAACTTTTTGTAAAGAAATATTTTAATTTTAATAAATTTTGAATCTCTTGAATAAAAATTGTTTACAGGTAAAACTCTACTTGCTCAGACAATAGCCCAGTGTTTGGACGTACCATTTGCGATCTGTGATTGTACGACCTTGACACAGGCTGGTTACGTTGGTGAGGATATCGAAAGTGTGATCGGTAAACTGCTTCAGGATGCAAGTTACAGCATTGAGAGGGCTCAAATAGGGATCGTATTCCTCGACGAGGTCGACAAGATTGGGGCAGTTCCTGGCATACATCAACTGAGGGATGTGGGAGGCGAAGGTGTGCAACAGGGTATGTTGAAGATGTTAGAGGGTACCATCGTTAATGTGCCCGAGCGGAATTCTCCAAGAAAATTACGAGGCGAGACGATCCAAGTCGACACCATAATTTTTAATTAGTGCCAAATGCGCACAATGAGACATTATTATGGCAAAATATACGTAATATGTTTATTATTTAAGCTGATTTTGATATTTTTATAAGTAGCATATTGTATAAAGGTATGCTTGTATTTGTACTTGAAATAATCCTTCAAATTGCACAACTGGAGGTGAATGGGTCTTTATCTGGGTTTGCAAGTTATTTATTAATTTACATCGCACAAAAGAAATTTATGCGGTTTAAAGCACATTTAATTATAAACCATTAAAGTTTATTGCTTCCACGTACATATATACATTGTACAATTTGCATTTATCAAGTTGATATATGTGCTTATCTGGAAAGTTATCACATTTCTGTTTACAAATTACATTTTCTTTTAATTAGTGAAAATTTAATAAGTATACTCTATTTTGTAGGCTTATAAAAAGTATAAAAAGTACACTGAGTTGGTGAGAGTTCGAAAATTACATTTGTTGGAAGTGTACAAATTACTGAACTGACACATGGGCATTTTGTAACAATTTTGTAAATATATATATATTTCAATATTTGTTTTGCAGGTATTTCATAAAGACGACTATGGAATAATGAAATACTAAGTGTATTTATTTATTATATTCGTAATTACTTTCACTTTGCAACAATTACAAGGCAAAAAGTTAATTTGCCACCCATTTTAATTAGAATACATCCCTCTGTACGTATATTGTGTAGCTTGTACTAAAAGTTAAAAATTCAATTTAACTACCTAACTTTCCTTTCTAATTAATTAAGTGAAACATTAAAAAATTTTCCTTTTCCTAAAGAATGTAACAAATAAATGTAATAAGTTGCAAAATTTTATATAGGCGATTATTCCTTAAATCTTCAACGGATTGGCGTTGTTTTGCCAATTCACTGGCAAAACATTTATAGACAGTGTTATTTTTAAATATATACGTTGTATTTATAACACCTGTTCTATTGTTAGAACAACTTTTTAAGGATTACTTTTTAATATACAAGCTTCATGGATAAATGTTGTTATATTAGTGGTTTTCAATACGTGAATAAATGAATATTAATATGACTAGCATACAAAATGGAATGAATTTAGCTTTTGGCAGAGTTGTTATAGAATTTTTAAATTATTCGATTGATATTAATTGTTGTTATCCTACTTCTTATTAAAGGTCTTCTTCTGGCCCTGCAAAACGATCTTTCCCCAAAATGGAAGTGTTTATCAACGAATATAATGGTTTTAAAATCTGCTGGATCTGGCGAACCCCCAATAGAAAGTGTTCCTCCAAAAAATGTAACTCCAGGTGGTCCCCCCGGTACTGGAGGAACAGGAACTGCCGGAGCCGGTGGAGGTAAAAACAAAAATACCCTATGCTGTCCGAAATGTGGAGACCCTTGCACTCACGTCGAGACCTTTGTCAGCTCCACAAGGTTCGTCAAGTGCGAAAAATGCCACCACTTTTTCGTGGTGTTGAGTGAGGTCGACAGTAAAAAAAAAGAGGGTGTCGATTTAAAAACTGGATTTTTCCGAAAACCACCACCCCCACCGAAGAAAATCTATGAGTATCTAAATAAGCATGTAATTGGACAAGAACATGCTAAAAAGGTAAGAAATTATAAATGATTGTTAATTTTTTATCTTTTACATTACCATAGATAAAATTACCAGTACAATCTATAAAAAAAATTAAATCCCAACAATATTTAAAATAAAAAAAAAAATGGATTAGAT